ATCTTTTCTTTTCTTTTTGGCCAGTGCTGGCTTTGAACCATATGGGGCTGGTGTCCTGCTCCTTTGAGCCATAGGTGCCGCCCAATTTTGTTTATCTTTTCAATGAACCAACTTTTTGTTTCATTAATCTTCTGTATGATTCTTCTGTTTTTGATTTCATTTAGTTCTGCCCTGATTTTGGTTATTTCTTTTCTTCTGCTGGATTTGGGATTAGTTTTCTCTTCATTTTCCTATTCTTTGAGATGATTCATTAGATTGTTGATTTGTGATCTTTTTATCTTTTGAATCTGGGCATTTAAGGCTATGGGTATCTCACAGATTTTGATAACTTGTGGCCCCATTATCAATTTATTCAGAGAATCTTTTGATTTCTGTCTTTATCCCTCCTTGACCCAGCTATCATTCAGTAATAGGTTGTTTAGTTTCCATAATTTTATGTAAGGATAGGTGATTCTGTCTTTTTTTTTTAGAGATAGAGTCTCACTTTATTGCCCTCAGTAGAGTGCCGTGGCATCATAGCTTATAGTAACCTCCAACTCCTGGGCTTGGGCGAGTCTCTTGCCTTAGCCTCCCAAGTAGCTAAAACTACAGGCACCCGCCATAATGCCTAGCTATTTTTTTGTTGCAGTTTGACTGGGATCGGGTTCGAACCCACCACCCTTGGTATATGAGGCTAGCACCCTACCCACTGAGCCACAGACACCACCTAAGATAGGTGTTTCTATTGGAAATGACTTTTTATTTTATTCCACTGTGGTCTAAGAAGATACGTTGTATAATTTTTTTGTTTTGTTTTGAGACAGAGTCTCAAGCTGTCACCCTGGGTAGAGTAGCTGGGACTACAGGCACCTGTCACAATGCCCAGCTATTTTTTGGTTGCAATTGTCATTGTTGTTTTTAGCTGGCCTGGGCCTGGTTTGAACCTGCCAGCCTCGGTGTATGTGGCCAGCACCTTACCCACTAAGCTACAGGCTACCTACATTGTATAATTTATGATTTTTTTAAGTTTTTGAGACATGTCTTGGGGCCTGGGATGGGATCAATCTTAGAGACTGATCCATGAGCTAATGAGAAAAATGTGTATTTAGTAGTTTTAGAGTAAAATGTTCTATAAATGTTTGTTATGACCATTTAGTCTAGAGTCATGTATAAGTCCATTGTTTCTTTGTTTATTTTCTGCTTAAAACAACTGTATTGAAGCAGGGTATTATCGCCCCTGGGTACTGTGAGGCAGCTGTGTATCATTTTCTTAAGATCAAGTAAGATTTGCTTTATATATCTGACTGTACCTGGATATATTTAGGATTATTACATTGTCTTGTTGAATTGTTCCCTTCACTAATATATAATGACCATCTTTGTCTTTATTTTAGTTGATGTGAAGTTTATGTATCTTCTATGAGAATGGCTGCACCAGTTTTCTTTTGGTTTCAATGTGCATGGAATATTCTTTTCCATCCTTTCACCTTGAGTGTGAATGAGTTCTTATGGGTTAGGTGCATTTCCTAAAGACAACACGTACTTGGGTTTTATTATTTTATCCATTCAGCCATCCTATGTCTCTGTAGTGGAGAGTTCAAGCCAATCACATTGATTGAGAGAATTGATAGGTGGGGTAGATTTCTGTTTTTCCTGTTGTGTAGAACTATATTGCTTATTTTATCTCTTGAGCCACTGTGGTATCTAGACTTTGACCTTTGAAAGTGACGCTTTCTCATCTGTGACTTTCTTTGACCTTTCACCAGGTTTTGGTGGTTTTACACTGGTGGGTGTCTATTGTGCTGATCTGTGTATAATGCAAGTCTGAGTACTTACTAGCAAGGCAGATTTAGTTGTGAAAAATTTTCTCAATGTTTGCTTGTCAGGAAAAGACTTAATTTCTCCATCAAATGTGAAACTTAGTTTTGCAGGATACAAAATTCTAGGCTGGCAGTTGTTCTGTTTAAGAAGATTGATGATGGGGACCCACTCCCTTCTGGCTTGTAAGGTTTTTGTTGTAAAGTTGACTATTACCCTGATGGGTTTTCCCTTGTAGGTCAGTTGTTGCTTATGTCTACCTGCCTGTAGAATTTTCTCTTTCATTTTTACTTTGGCCAGGTTAATTACTATGTGTCTTAGAGATGTTCTCTGTACTATGAATCTTCCTGAAGTTCAGTGACCATCTTGTATCTGGATGTCTGAATCTCTGACAACACTAGGAAAATTTTCTTCAATAATACCTTCAAATAGAGTTTCCATGCTCTAGGCACTCACTCTCTTTTTCTCCCTCAAGGATACCTATAATTTGTGTGTTTGTATACTTTGCATAGTCCCAAATCTCTCTCACGTGAATGCTCTGCTTTCATTATCTTCTTTTCTGATTCCTTAAATGACTGGGTTAGCTCCAGAGCTTTGTCTTTACACTCAGAGATTCTTTCTTCACGTTCCATTATATCTTTTCTAATTTTGTCCAGTTCTTTGGTGACTTTTTATTAATTTCCTGAAATATTTTTTGGTTTCTTTTGCTGGTTTCCTCAATTCCATTCATCTTATTTGCCATCCACACTCTGAATTCCATTTTTGACTCTTCATTATAGTTGGATTTTCCTGTATAACTTCATTATAATCCCTTAGGGGAGTTGATCTGTTTTAGTTTTTCATGTTGCTAGTGTTCTTTTGCTGGTTCCGTCTCATCTGTGACTTCTTTTTTCAGCTCAGGGTTAAAGGTATAGATGGCTTCAATTCCTGTGGACAACTCTCCTGTTTGATTCACGTAAGCGGAGGTCACTATATGTGCTCTAGTAACAGTGGTAACAGCAGGATGTGAGATTCTTGGGTTTTGTAGTGCCTTTGTTCTATTCAAGTCTCAGTGAACTGGTGACTTGAGTCCAGTGGGTCCCTGGCAGGGCTTTGGACATTGGAACAGATTTTCAGGCTCTGTTGCAGTGGTGGCAGCTCTGGGTTGGGGTCTTGGGGACCAAGTGTAGCTCTGGGGACTTGTTGATGTTATCTCAGGCCTGGTGGAGGTTCTGGATGCTCAGAGGTGGGGTATCCAGCTGCAGTGTGAGAGCCTCAGGGTCTGGACTGGGGAGGAACTTGAGGCAGGACCAAGAATCCAGAAGGAGGGCCTCGGGGAAGGCAGGGCTGATCCAATCTGGAGTGTGGGGTTAGGGGTCAAGCACACAGAAGGTAGTTCTGGCCCAGAGAGAAGGGTTTGAGCTGACCAAGTGGCAGTTTGTTCTCTAGACTTTAGGGCCACTTGGATGATGTTGATACCTTTGGCCCTGGGACTATAGAGCCCTCCATGCCTCTCCTAGGACCTGCTGAATTGAAGTGGTGATCTATTGCCTCACAGATAGGAACCTGCTGCACCTTGCCCCCATCAACTCCCATGTCCATATCCCCTCATGCTCTATGTGGGAAGCACTTTGTTTCAAGTTACCAGGTATGGCTTAGAGAAGCCTCAAGTTGGTCCACTCCCTCCCTAGCCCAGTGCAAGCCTGGCACAGTGTACCCAAGAGCTCAGGATGGCCATAGCTGCAATTCAGTTCCTACTGTACACTGTCTGATATGATAACTGCACAGACTTCAGGCTGACCCCAGGTCTGACCCAGCAGAGGTCAGGGGGGTGATGGAAGCCATCCAGCAGCTCAGTGTACATCGCACATGCCAAGGTATCACAGAGCCTCAGCACTCTATTGTTCCCCACAAAGCCTCTGAACTTGTTGTATATATCTCTCTGTCATCTGTTTCCTTGAGGTTTTTTTTTTTTTTTGCTCTGAGTATTCCACATTGTTTTTCTGTGATTGCTGTTTCTGAGAGGAACCATCTGAATGGAGGAAGCTGCCTGCACCTTTCCCTACTTTTCTTGGAGTGTCGTGTTGGCAGTATTTAATCAGTCCTCTTTTGGTGAACTTTCAGTTATTTGTAAGTTTTTAGTAGTAAAAACAATGCTATAGTGAGTAACTTCATTTGCATATAATTTGGTACATATGTAAACATATTTAGAAGATAAATTCCTACATGTGAAATTGCGGGACCACAATGTATGTGCATTTATAATTTTGATGGATATTGCTACAAAATGTTATTACATATACAATGTACCAATTTCAGTAATGTCTGTGTTTTCACATATTCTTTGTTTTCGTTATGAATAATTGGTTTAGAAATGGTTTCATGTGATATTGTTCAGAGTTCTTCCCTTAAGAGATGCCTAAGTTTAGAAATATTAGTTACTTTTGACTGCTGCTTGTTTCTTTTAATTCACCAGTTATGGTATCCATTGAGCTGTTATAGATTTGATGTCAGTTTTATTTTGAAGAAACTCAGAAGCTCTATTTATAACCACAGTAATTTTAAGTTGTTCCAGATTTTATAATTTGTTTATTTTTACTAGTTTCAATTTTTGGCTTAGTGCTTGTTTTTTTTTTTAAACAATTATCTATGTTTTTATTAAAAATATAAATTTGTTATATGATGAAAAATTAACTGAAGTATAATTTTAAATTCACAAGAAAATAGCTTAAGCCCAAGAATTTGAGGTTGCTGTGAGCTGTGATGCCATGGCACTCTATCCAGGGTGACAGCTTGAGACTCTGTCTCAAAAAAAAAAAAAAGCCAAAAGCCAAAGTAAAGCTCTATCTCAGTTTAAGACAATTTCTATTTAATGCTTCTTGGTTTCCCTGTATCAAGATATATCAAATACTTCAATCATTTACTGCACAGGAAAACTTCCTATTGCCCAAGCATTCTATAAATTAGCTTGTGGAAGAAATAGGGGTTGGGGGGGTTTTGCTTGTAAACACCAAGAATGTGTGTTATGTTTAGTCAGTGGCTAACGTATGTTTAGGAATATCATAGCATCCCTTGAGATATATACACTCCTGTTAGGACTTTCTCAAACTGACCTAGCATAGCCATAGAGAATAGTATTTCTCATTGATACTCAGATCTGAAGCCTGGATCTGATGTAAAGGGAAATACAAGATAAGGGATGATGTTAGCTGGTGTTATTTCAGGTACTGTTGGATAAGAATAATAAACTTCAAGAGGGAAAGAAACCCCTGCGCTTCCTTCAAAGAAACCCAATACCTCAACCTCGGCTTCCCACTCCAACCCTGCAAATGAGTTCCAATGTAAGTTTGAAGCTTTTTTATTTGGAATGCTAAACTTCATATTATTGTCACTTTAGTCTTAGCAGGGTTTGTTTGGATTGAAAACAAATCTAATCCAATGATGTTAGTTTTCCAAGCTCTGACTCAAATTTGCCTTTATTCTTATGCATCAAACATCACACACACAAAAACAAGCAAAATGAAATGAAATTTAAACCTAATCCTTTTCAAGGATAAAAATATAAAGAATAAAAAAAAATCTTCCCATGAAAAACCAACATCAGAAGGTGATCCTTGTGTCTATCAAATCCAACAAAAAGAGTGAATGACGATCAGTTGCCACAACTCTCTGTCCACACAGGGAGGTGGCTGATGACTGTTGGAGTTGAAGCAGAAGGAGATGCCAGTGTCATCAAGATAGGCTGGCTTCTGGGGTCGGAATGACTTGATGAGGTCACCCTAGCCAGGTGGCATCTTACCAAACTCAATTTGGGCAAGGTGCCAGAGTTGGCTAAGATATAGAGGACTGAATCAGACTAAGTAAACCCACAAAAAAACTGCTAGAGATGCCACAATGAAAATTTATTATTTATGGAGAGTAATATGACTACTTGGTGGATTGGGAGGTTCTTCTTGGCTGGCAGCACATTGTTTCCTAGTATAGTGAAATCCTTGACAGAAGCCAAATTGTATTGAAAAGGTTGGTGTGCTTCCTGGCTGGGGGCAGGTGTTGATGGGAGATCTCCCGGACACCTGTCGCCACCTGTGATGGGTGGCCCCTGCAAAGGGCCTGGAGTGCTCCTACTAATTAGCCAGGATGTCCTCCTGACAGCGCCCTCTTCTTTAGACTTTGTGCAGGCCTTTGGTTAACACAGAGTTTTTCATATGTGCAAGAGTCATCAATTGGACTGTTGCTTTTTTATACATTCAAATGAACTTTAATTTGATTTCCAGACCTTGCTCTTTCTGCTCTGGACACATAGTTATTTAAGGCAATTTTGCAAATGGCTAATCTTGTCTATCATATTGTATTTTACCAGGATAGCTGAATTCTTGTGCAAAGCACCACACTCTGACATAGACTAGCTTTTTTCTTTGTCTGCTCATGATTAAATATAATAATACTCTTGCAAAAACGATGTTATAAGCAATGCTTGATACTTTAAGAACTATCTTGCTGAAGAGGAATATAGGAAAATGAAAGTGACTTTATCTGTAGGGTCAGCATGGCAGTGGGTGGGTAAGTTTTTTGCTTTTAATATGATTTGCTAAGGATGTATTTATGATGAAAAAATAATAATGGATTTTAATGATACCATAAGTACATATAGCATGCAAAATAATACATGTTCAATGGGCAGAGACCATGTTTTATTTATTTACATCTTTATTGCATCTACAGTCTCTTTTGCTTAAAATAAGTCTTCAAAGAATATTTCATGCTTGAACTTCTTCATTTCTCAAGCTGCTTGGTTCTCCCTTTGTTCTTTTAGGAAGAAGAGGATATAGAAATGGCTGTGATCTACCTTCAAAAGTTACTCCGGGGCCGAGTTGTTCAAAACATGGTGTGTAGGTTCCACCACTGGCCCTGTGTTTCTCCTTTGAGAATAAGATTTTTGGAATTCATATGTGCTGTGTTCCATTGGGGTGAATTCCTTTTTGCACCCTGCTATCCTATCCAACTAGACTCTTGAATTATCTACTCATGCCCTTCAGTTGCCATTGTTCATCCTTGTGGGTAGCACAGTGTCAAGGAGGAAGAGAGGAAGGACTTGCCTAATAACTGTCATAGTTTTAACTAAAACAGGGTAAAACTCATTTCTTCTTTAGAACTGCTAAATCCATACATTTTTGCACCTAAACTTTGACTATCACAAACCAAGTGGATTCCCTAATTTTTCAGTCATAAAACATGTTTGAGTATGCATATAGCTGGTAATACCTCCATTAGAAAGAAAATCACTAAATATTAAAAACTGAAGTTTTGACCCCCGACTTAATGCCTATATTATATATTCTTTGCTCTCCATATATCATCTCATTTTTTTTTCTAATTGCCATCTCATTTTATAGGCAGGTCATCCGAGTCTGAGAGAAATTTAGTTAACTGCCAGCAAATTCAATTCTGGTCTTCCCAACTATAAAACCTTAGGTTATTTGTGCTGCTAAAGCAGGCACATGTCACTTAAAAATGGATTGGTGGAAAGCCCCAGTTTAATAAAAAAGAAAAGGAAGTCCCAGTTAAAAAATACATACACACACACACACCCGGACTGCTATATATATTTTAACCCACATAGCTATAACTTTTAAGAGCTTCGGTTATAAGTACAAGGAAACTGGATTAGCAACTCACGTTCAGAACTATTCTTTACTTCCCTTTCAGTATTTTCCCAAGGGAAAAGCCACAGTAACTTTCAGATAGCAGATTGTGTACCAGAGGCGAATTTATTGGTAAAAAAATATGACCTTGAAAAACACCATCTCCAGATTTCTTAGGGAAGGAGCACAGGAAATGAAGGGAAGGTTCTAGTTTCCTAATAAGACCATATGGTTGTCACCTTGCTTCTGAGAGGCATTTTTAGAAACCAGGTAAACAGCTCACTGAAAACTAAGCCCATTCTCTGCTTGAGCTGCTGAAGGTACAGAAAAGCAGGCTGAACACTAGCTCTGAGGACGCCCAGGGGCAGGACAGAACCCCGTTCACAGGGTCGCCTGGGTGGCTGCATGTGCCTCCTTGTGCTTGTCCTGAGGGAGGCTAACCTGCAGGTCTCTCTTGACTTGATTTGATCCAGATGTTTGAAGGGAAAGAAAAGCGCCTAGAGCTGATCCAGGAGCTGCGCACCAGCCACGCGCTGCAAGATGACGACAAGCTGGTGAAGAAAGCTGAGAAGCAGGTGACCCTGGCGCTCCAGCGGCAGAGGAACTTGCACGAGCACAAGGTTATCTTTTTTTTTCTTGTTACCTTCTTGTTAACATTTCCCCCGCCTTGATTTTTACTGTTGCATAAACAACATTATAAAAACAATAAAGAAAATGATAAAAAGAAAAAAGAAAGAAACATGCTCACAAGGCATCTCTCTTAAACAGTGTTGCTGCAGGGACTGTGCCCTCACTGAGTTGAAGATGCTAGTATTATTTCTTTATTTGCAAAAACAACAACAAAAGGAAAGGAACACCACCACCCACGGTAACAACAACAACAACAATAAAAGAAGCTTTTCAACATTAGGATTTTTCTCCCTTCCATTTTTTCTTAAACATTCGGTAACTCTACTGTGTATTTCTGTTAGTAAGGGATTAGCAGAATGAGTGAGTAATAAAAACACACGAAATGTGAGAACCGAGATTTTTAGATATCAACACTCACTTCTGAGTTTGGGACTGTAGATAGACCCTGCGGGATGAACTGCATATTAAATATGTTTCTACTTCTTTTTATTTTTTATTTTTTTAAGACAGAGCCTCCAGCTGTTGCCCTGGGTAGAGTGCCATGGCATCACAGCTCATAGCAACCTCTAACTCCTGGACTTAAGCGATTCTCTTGCCTCAGCCTCTCAAGCAGCTGGGACTACAGGCGCCCGCTACGACGCCCAGCTATTTTTTGGTTGTAGTTGTCATTGTTGTTTGGCAGGCGCAGACTGGATTTGAACCCACCAGCTCTGGGGCATGTGGCTAGCGCCTTAGCCGCTTGAGCTACAGGCGCTGAGCCATGTTTCTACTTCTTGATGCTATGTAGTTGGTGACTTCCATCATGACCTTCCCACAGTGTGCCACCTGACATGGCTGAGAATTGTAGCTTTATTTTTTCCTAGACAGGTTTCTCAAAAAGTCTGAATTGCAATTTTAAGCCAACTGCTGTAATGTTTTTCCTGCTTTCTTCCAGTGTTTGTCCATCTACACACACTCTTTCATGTTGTCGACCACAGTGTACACACACTTCTACTCCCTCTCCCTCTTTTCTCTGAGTCAATCTGAAAAGGAATCCATTTGATTCAGAGTTTAGTATTATAAGAAGACAGTAGTTTTAGCTTGTGCTGTGGGAGTATTGGGCACAGATGGTAAGCAGCTGGGAAATGACCACAGCTTTATTTGTTTTACATGACAACAGCAGCATGATGGGTGGGGAGCTGCCATGGGGAGAGGGAGGAAGAGAGCCATGGGCTGGGCTGGGTCGGGCTGTGAGACCCAGCGGAGGAATGAGAGAAGGAAGAGGAAAACGTAGGCTTGTGGCCCAGAATCTGGAAGACTTAGAAGCCTGGGAATGTTTAGACAGGGAGCAGAACACCCTGAAAGCACTAGGTCCTGAGACTTCGCGTGGAAAACGGTCCTCCTTGGCCTATTGAGGTTTCTGTTAATGGACTTTATAGCAGATGAGCTAAGCTAACCCAGGCTTTTCAACTCATGGGGGATATACTCATGGCTGAGCTCATGTCGGCTAAGAGCTAAGGGAAGAACTAATGGAAAAATCGGTCACTTAGCCAAGGACTCACCCTGCCCACCATCAGCCTCACCTGTACATGTCAGCACTATGCAGGGTCCGAGAAAGCAGGCACCTCACACGCGCCTTCAGCAATGCTGGTCCTCCCTGTTTCTTCTCTTATATTCCTTTGGAAAACAGTTCAGAAAGTGCATGATTTCCAGTTATGTAATACATTGCATGATAGGACCTTGGCAGAATCGCCTTCCTGAATATTTTTCCTTGATTCCAAATTAGCTTGTACCCAAATTTCTTGCGGAGAGAAAAAGCTAGACACGAGCAGGTAGCCGTCTCAGAATCTCAAAAGTCACATCTGACCCCCACACGAGGGAGCTTATGCTCTCTAGAGACAAGGAGAGAATCCCCTTGTGACCTCGGGGGTGAATATCTGCCGTTTGTGACTGTAAGAAGTAGTGAGATGCTCTGTTTCCCCCTTCTTTCCATCTCTCCTTCTAACATGAGCAAAGTTGAACCCTGTGATTAGAACGTATGTGTGTGGGCTGGGAGGTGAATGAGAAGGAGGATGGAGTTGCTGGAGTTGCTGATACAGAGCGGAAGGGGAGCTGAGCCCAGAGGGAGAACTGTAAGTGTTAAGGTAGCATATGAATCAAAGAAAAGCCTATTCCCCTTTACCTGGGGATAGCAGAGGGAATGGGATGAAGTTTCAAAGGATAAATTAAACACTTTTCTCTTCATGTGTCAAAGGCAGGACATAGCTCCGTAAAGGGGTACTGTGACTTTCTCTTAACCAGCAGCACTGTGGGTCCCATACATTACCTCAACTGATCACATAGACATTTAGTCTTTTTTCCTAGGCTGTTTCAAAGATGGTTATTAATGGCTTTGAAGTTATTAAAAGATTTGAAGGTTATCCACTTTCATGTTATGCAAGATCTTAAAATTCCCCAAACTTATGTGAAGGGACAGACATTAAAAAATTAAAAGGTGTGATGCATGACTTTCTAGGAACTTTTATCTTTTTTTTTTTTTTTTTGGCTAGGGCTGGGTTTGAACTCACCACTTGTCGCACATGGGGCTGGCAGGTGCCCTACCCTTTTGAGCTACAGGTGCCGCCGGAACTTTTATCTTATTAAGCTCTAATTATTTATTATCGTTAATAAAAACCTTGACATTTACCTTCACATCTGAGAAGACACACTTTACCTTCTAGGTAAAACAGAGAAAAAAATTCTGTGGTTGCTAATAGAAATATCTTACTAAATCCTTTTCGTAATTTGAGGACTGTGATCAATCAGAAAACAACTAACAATCCATTTGCTGAAGTTCTTCTAGTAAGAACCCCTGGGGTTAGAGATATTTCTAATAAAAAATCAATGCATCCTGAAAGTGCATTGATTCAAGAATTCTGAGTAATCCAGCACTCCTAATAATCACCATTCAAAGTGGAATTTGTATTTTTAAAGTTCTGTTATTCTTTTCAAGGTGGCATTGGTTGAAAACCACTTGGCCGGGCTGGAAGGCAGGGTGCTGGCAGACATGTTTGACTTCCTGTCCAAAGAACTGGTGAGACTGCAAGAAGAGAGGAGGATCCACGCCTTTGCCATGCTGGCTGAGCGCCAGCGGAGGATACGGGAGGCCGAAGAGAGTGGCCGGCGCCAGGTGGAACTACGGCGCCTGCGGGAGGAGGATGAGATATTTAAGGAGGCAAGTAGGGGTAGCTTGTGGAGGCTGCCTGGAAAGAGCTGAGTCAAACCGAGGGAACCTCTTGACATGAAATGGTGGGGTTTTATTGTTTTTCATTTTATTCTACAGATCTGCATGAGGCTCCTGCCATATGCCAGGCACTGTGTAAAGGTGTTATGGGGTGCTTTGAAGGAAAAATATCAAACATGGTCCCTTCTCTCCTGGGGCTTAAATAACATGTAACTTGCACGTAGTGCAGAATTAGAAAGTGTCATGAGTTCCATGAAGGAAAGAAATGGGGCCCAGAGACACATTTTCAACAGGTTGCTCTCCTTGCTGTATAGGCTTCGCGGGGACCGGGAGGGAGCAATGAGACTCACAGCTATAAAACTGTATCCTTGCAGCTGTGCTGTAACTAATACTGCTCCTTCACATACATACCTAGAAATTGTAGTCAAGAGAAGAAGAATTTCACTGGGACCCTTGGACATGTGTTCTCTCAGGTAGAGCCCCTGACCCTCTCGGACATGGAGAAGAGAGCTGGGCTGGTTGTTTGGAGGTGGGCACAGAAGAGACTTCAGGGTAGCCAAGCATGCCCAGAATATGTCAAGTCTGGGCTACGTGAGCACGTCCTCCGGCGTGAATGTGAGAAAGAAGAAAGAGCCAGCCAGGAACTTACAAAAATTCCTCTCTAAGAGGGCTGTCTGAATCTATATGTGGATACTTCTTGAGCTCTTCAGGCTAAAAAACAAAACTATATCAATTTGGATTCTTCTTACTTGGTCTGAGATTTTAATGATTTACCTGATTTTCATAGAACTAGAATTCATCCATGAGCAGTAATTGGTATGTGTGTGTGTTGTTGTTGTTGGTTTTTTTTGAGACAAAGTCTGGAGCCCTGAGTAGAGTGTTGTGGCGTCACAGCTCACAGCAACTTCAAACTCTTAGGCTTAAGCAATTCTCTTGCCTCAGCCTCCCAAGTAGCTGGGACTACAGACACCCGCCATATTGCCCAGCTATTTTTTAGGGATGGAGTCTCACTCTTGCTCAGGCTGTTCTTGAACCTGTGAACGCAGGGAATTCAGCCGTCTCGGCCTCCTAGAGTGCTAGGATTACAGGTGTGAGCCACTGGGCTCGACTATAACACTTCTTGATTAAAGCTAAACAGATTGCTCTCCCTCTACACAGCTTAAGAAGTTCAGGGTTTTGTTTTCAAGTTCACATTGTAAATCTTCTATCTACCATGTGTAATGTCTTCTACTAATATAGTCAGAGCCTTGCTCAATGATGAGACATGTATCCTAGGCAATGTTGTCACTGTGCCCACATTACAGAGTGCACATGCATAAACCTAGATGCCACAGCCGACTACACACCTAGGCTGTGTGGGAGGGACTATTGCTCCAAAGCCACAAACGGGCAGCATATGACTGTCCTGAATACTGTAGGCAACTGTACCACACTGATAAGTACCTGCGTATCCAGACGCACTTAAACATAGAAAAGCCACAGTAAAAACAGTAGGAAAAATAAAAAATGTTACACCTATAGAGGGCACTTGCCAGGACAGGAAGTTGCTGTGGGTGAGTCAGTGAGTGGCGAGTTACTGTGAAGGCCCAGGACATCACTGCACCCTGCTGTAGACTTTATAAACACTGTACACTCAGGCTTCACTCAATTTATTTAAAATGTTTTTCTTTCTTCAGTAACAAATTAACCTCAGCTGACTGTGACTTTTTTACTTTTTAAGTTTTTTCAACTTTTTGGCTCTTTCATAATAGCACAGCTTAAAACACATTGTATAGCTGTATTTTTTCTTTATATCCTTATTTTATAAGCTTTTTTGTTTCTAAAATATTTACTTTTATTTCTTACTTTTCACACTTCTTCTTTTGAGACAGCGTGTTACTATGTCACCGATGGTAGAATGCTGTGGCATCACAGCTCAAAACAACCTCAAACTCTTGGGCTTAAGCAATTCTCTTGCCTCAGCCTCTCAAGTACCTGGGACTACAGGCGCCCGCCAAAACACCCAGCTATTTTTTGGGGGAGGAGTTGGTTGCAGCTGTCATTGTTGTTTAGCTGGCCCGGGCCAGGCTCAAACCTGCCAGCCTCAGTGTATGTGGCAGGCGCCCTAGTCACTGAACTACAGGCGCCAAGGCCTTTTAAAACATTTTTGTTAAAAACTAAGACATAAACACACACACTACCTTGGGTTTACACAAGGTCAGGATCATCAATATCCCTGTCTTCCACCTCTGCATCTTGTCACCCTGGAAGGTCTTCAGGGGCAATAACACATGTGCAGCTGTCACCTCCTGTGACAACAGCACCTTCTCCTGGAATGCCCTGGAAAGACTTGTGTGAGGCTGTTTTATAGTTAACTTTTTTTGTATGTAAGTAGAAGATGTACTATAAAATAATGGTAAAAAGTATATTATAGCAAATACAGAAGCCAGTAACATTTATCATCATTATCAGGTATTCTATATTATGTACATAATTGTATGTGATATACTTTAGAATGACTGGCAATATCACCACAAACACATGAATAATAATGTTACAATGTTACTAAGAGCTATAATGTCACTAGACTATAGGAATTTTTAGCTCATTATAGTCTTACAGGACCACTGTCATGTATATGATCCGTCGTTGACCAAAATGCTATTATATGGCATGTGAACTGTAATTCATATTCCAGCTTCCTATCATCTTGACACACTACTCTGAAAAGTTACTGAAGTTTAGAAATTATTAGCAAACCAGAACTTACTATCCTTAACCTGATATCACTAAGGCAAAAGCAGCTGGGAGTGGGAAGAACTGACTGGGGGTGAGAAGAGAAGAAGTGGCCCAGAGGAACTACTACGTTCCACAACAGAGAAAGGAAGGAGTTGGTGAAAAGCTTGTTAGGAAGGGATCTTTTCATGGGAATGATGTCAAGAAAAGTCGCTTCTGTCTGGGAAGTACAGAAAGGGTAAAGATAATCTTTCCAGCCTGATTTAAGGACAACTTGTGTAAAGCATAGATCTGGCTATGAGACCACATATCAAACACCATCCATCATTTTAATTTCCAATTTCCCTAATTAAAATACAATGTCTATTTTCCTTCCCACTTCCCTAACCTCCATTCATACAGAGCCTTTCAAAGATAAATAGGCTTGCACATAAATATAAAAGAGGAAGTGTCTATATTTAATAAATTTTCAGAGAAAAATGACATATAGATAGTGACAAACACAGATTGAAATGAATGCACACTTTTGTAGGTGCATACACCAAGACATGGTCACAATACAGAGGATGCCAAAGATGCATGCACATGTTAAGAAAGGAAAAAACCATATTAAAATTGTAATACTCAGTATATACCAATAATGTTTGCTCCCTTGTATGTTGTATCTTGTTATTGTAATTGCAGAAGTCAAACCTAACTTGAGTATTACAGTATCTTCTTGTTTAAAATGTGTTCACATTGTTTTGGCATCCTCACTGAATTATCCCTGTACAATTCAGTGTGCACAATATTAGTGAAGATATAGAGGAACACACACACTTAAAAAAAAATCTGTATTGTGTATTCTATTCACAATTTCAAGAAAGCTTTATAAGAAGCATCCTGGGACTGTTACGATAGTTGAATAAATTCACCAGAGACCTAACATCCTTCTAGCATTCTGTTCTTCTGTCCCTAAAGCATGGCCCTTGTGGCAATTTAAGATGCCTGCTGGTATTTTATATGTCTCTGTGAAATGAGCAATGAAAAGAGAAAGAGAAAAAGCCAGGTCTTTCCCTTTAAAAACTCTTTCTAGAAGTTCCACATACCACTTTTGCATGTCTTCCCTTGGTCATACGGCCATACCCAGCTCTATGGGTGCTAGAAAATGTAGTCTTTGCCCAGCTAAAATCCAGGGGTTTTATTATTTAAGTGGAAAGAAAGAAAGGTGTTGAGGAATACCTCCTAGTCTTTGTTAGTTAGGTTGTTTGACCAAGTCATGCTGCTGGTAAGAACAAAGCTGAGATCAAAACCAGGGTTATTGACTCTGAAGCCCATGAACCTTCTGCAGTGCCATATTGCCCATCTCCAAATAAGATCCACAATTCTAGAATGGGCTACATGGGTAGGGGAATGGGCTAGAGAATGGGCTACAGACTAACTAGATGGTAAAGAAAAGGAATGATTAGTGAAGGGTGTGTTGACTTAATGAATGAAATACATTTGCTAAAAAAAAAAAGTCAACTAATGTTTGTGTATTGGTCCTATTTACAATTACAATAGCATTCTTATTCTGAGTAAGTGTGGGTATTTTTGTTTTGCAGGTAATTAAAGTTCACCAAAGTACTGTATCCTCCTATCTGGAAGACATAATACTGAATGCTGAAGAGAACACGGCAGAAGAACAAGCCAGGGCAGAAATTGAAAAGATGGCTGAGGAAATCAATGACATTGCTTATGAAATAGAAAACCGGTATGTATTAAGACCAAGAGAACAGATTGTAGACTGGGCAGCCCATTTGCTGGTACTCATAGACATTTTTTCAAGAGCTTAATATTTTGCTTCCCAGGAGAAACAAATACATAACTCATGCTTTACTGTCCATTGTTTTATTAGTATAACGCTTAGTAGTCAGCATGCCTAATGCCTCTGTGTGGTAGGAACATTGGGGATTTAGTCTCAGTTGTCCTCCGCATCTGGATTGCTTCCATATTACTTTAAGTGGAAGCATGGAAGTAATGTGTGTAACATTATGTGGCTTTCACCCAAGCTTCCTGGCTTCTACCTATCAGCTGAGTTTCTAACATTCCCTCCCTGGCAGGCAGGTTAAATGAAGGACAGGCTCAAATCCAGATTTTCCATGCCCTTCAACAAGCTCACCAGGGATGTGATATTTCAGAACACTTAATCAAGGAAAAGGTGTTGGTGGGATTTGAGCAGTGGAGTTGCTTACGCAAGCAAGGAAGATTTAAGCATAATCAGCAGCTCAAATAAAGAACCAAAGGAAATATTAATACTTTTTATTTTTTAGTCGAACTCATCTTCAGTCGGAGGAGATTGTTGCTGAGTTGGTTTATAGTTTTCTAATCCCAGAGGTGCAAAAAGACTTTGTTAAAGAAAAAGGTAAGCCAATATAAATGCTTTACTTTTTTATAAAAGATGTAAATTATTTTCAATATTCCAAAGATTTCAAACTCAACACAGGTATGGGGAAATTCCTGAAGGGGAATCACTAAATTTTCTTATTTCAGAGCTTGTCAAGTTCTCTTCATGCTGATTCCAGAATATAACCATCTCTGGTAGAGATGGGATGAAGTTCTATAATAATAAGTTTGAGTTCTTTCCTTAAAAGGAAGTTCCCAGCCAGGTTCAGTGGCTCATGCCTACAATCCTGGTACTCAGGGAGACTAAGTTAGGAGGATCGCTTGAGTTCAGAAGTTCAAGTCCAGCCTGAACGACAGTGAGACTTTGTCTCTCTACTAAAAATAGAAAAAAATTAGCCAGGTGTTGTGGGTGCCTGTAGTTCCAGCTACTCAGGAGGCTGAGGCAGGAGGATCATTTGAGCCCAAGGAGTTTGAGGTTGCTGTGAGCTATAATGCCTCAGCACTCTAACCCGGGCAACAGAATGAGACTCTGTCTCAAAAAATAAAGTAAAATAAAATAAAGTAAAATAAAAAAGAAATAAAAGAAAGTTTCCAAGTTTTCAGAAGAGGTATGTACCTAAAGCAAATGTCAAGCATATGACAGGTGTCCCCCCGTAGCAGCCTTTTTGAAGTGGGACATGTGAACCACGGGTGCTGGAAGGCAGGGGCTCTGGGAGGATTACCCCAAATAACTTGCTTTTGCTGGGGCTGAATTCAAGTGTACCTTGTCATTTGTCACAAGTGGCATGTTTTTAAAGATTGATGCTTTTAGTCAATAGAGAAGAAGAGAAAAGTGTCCTAAACAGAAAAAGAAGATTCTTCATCAGCACTGACACAGAGAGATGATCTTAGAGGCAGCACGCAGACCAGTATTTAAGTGAAACAGCAGCTCAGAAGCTTCCAGAGTTAGATAAGGGAATCCTGGACAGATTTGAGCAGAAAAGTGTCCAATTGCACATTGCTTACTCAGGAGTAAAGGGATGGTGGAGTTCTAGCACAGAATATTCTCATTACATGGATGGAGTGTAATTGTTAAACCAATACCCTCTCATGATAAGCATTTAGTTTGTTTCCAGTGTATTTTCCTATTATTACCAGTTTTGTAATCAATGCATTTTACACATATCCTGGCCATGAGAGTAAATTCCTAGCAGTAGGATCGCTGGGAAATAAGGTGTGTCATTTTATATTTTAATAGATACTAATACTACCGAGTTGCCCACAAAATGATTGTCGACTTGTATTGGCAGTGTATGATAGTGCTTATACCAACAAAAGTTAATTTTCAGGCCCAATAATACATATTTCTGTGTCATACTAGATTCTAAAGGGACTTTATGTCTATATGCAACTCCTTTCCAATTCTCCTAAGTCCAAAGCGAGGTCAGCCTGTGTCAGCTATTCCATCTATGGCAGCGGTTCTCAACCTGTGGGTCGTGACCCCTTTGGGGAGTGAATGACCCTTTCCTCTTTCACAGGGATCACCTAAGACCATCTGAAAACACCTATTTCCAATGATCTTAGGAACCAAGACACTGCTCATCATGTGTGGGGTCACCACAACATGAGGAATTGTATTAAAGGGTCACGGCATTAGGAAGATTGAGAACCACTGATCTATGGGAATAAAAGGAGCAGGGCAAACAGTGGGTCTAAGAGCCTATGAATTTGACGTCCCCTCCCCCATCTTTGGGGGGCTGAGGGGAAGGGTTTGGAGGAGGAACTTGGGCTGAGGGGATCCAGCAGGACTTGTCTGTGGGCAAGTTGGGTGAGTCCTCAGCCTCTCCCCTGTATATTTATGTCAAATCAGAGAAGCCATGTGGACAGGGAGCATACTATTGGGTCTCTGGTTTCTCTTTTCAAGTAAGAGAACCATATGTGTTGTGTATGTACCCCAAATTAAGATCCACACAGACCATCTGAGATATCTTACTTTTTAAAAAGCTGATGGATCGGCAATCTTGTAAGGGGACCTGTCTGTATATATATATATATATATATAATAACAGTAACTGCCAAATTTTAAGTGCATGCTAAGTCCCGGACAGTGTGCTGTGCATTTTATAACGTATGAAATCTCAGCTTCTTACAATGGCTGTGTGTTCTTGTTTTTCAGTTAAGGAAATTAGTGTTTGGAGATAGAAATTATAGGCTTGAAAACCTCCAAAGCCCACCTTTCAGCCATACTACTGTGAATTGCTAACAGCTGCTGTGTGAATTACCCTATCTACGTAAACTGAATTACCCTCTGAGGGGTCCTCAAACTTTTTAAACAGGGGGCCAGTTCACTGTCCCTCAGACTGTTGGAGGGCTGGACTGGGCCCTGGGAGGAGTCGGCTCCTAAGCAGTACAGGCAGCGGTGGCGAAAACACCTGGCAGGCCAGATAAATGTCCTCAGCAGGCCCCATGTGGCCTGTGGGCCGTAGTTTGAGATCGCCTGCAGAATTACCCTATGTATGTAAACTGCAATGTGGATTACCCAGATCCCCAGCACCTCTTATTGTCCTTTACTAGCTATATGACTTTGGGTAAATTACACAATCTCTCTGTGTCTATGCTTCTTCTTCTGAAAACAAAGATATTAATAATACTCTATTTTAAGACTGTGGGAGGATTAAATGAATAATTATACATCAACTGCTTAAAACAGCGCCTGGCACAAATGAAGGATAAATGCTAACTGCTCACGTCATCATCATCATCATCACTCCTTTTCAAAGGGCTTAGATGCTTAGTATTTTCAATACTAAGCCTTATAATATATATTCTTAGCCGGCCATGGTGGCTCACACCTGTAATCCTAGCTCTCTGGGAGGACAAGGCAAGTGGATAGCTTGAGCTCATGAGTTGAAGACTAGCCTGAGCAAAAATTGAGACCTAGTCTCTACTAAAAATAGAAAAAACTGAGGCAAGGGGATCACTTGAGGCCAAGGATTGGAGTTTGCTGTGAACTATGATGCCACAGCACTCTGCCCAGGGAGACAGCTTGAGACTATGTCTCAAAAAAAAAGAAATATATATATATATATACACACACATATACATATATATATATATATATCTCCTTAGAACTTGGAGCTAGGACCATGTTTTAAAGCCATGTGCTCAGAAATTCATCATCAATCAACAAACGCCCTCTGTACTAGATGTATGAGATAAGGTCTTTTTTTTTTTATTGAATGGTAACTACATACATTAATGCACTTCTGGAGTACGGTGTGGGGTTGTCACACACAAGCTGAAGTACTTCCATCAAACTGGTTAACATAGCCTTCATGTCATTTTCTTAGTTATTGTTCTAAAACATTCACATTCTACTCTTAGAAAGATTCACTTGTACCCTGTAAGATAAACCTCAGAAGTGATCCCTCCAATCCCCCTCCCTCCACCCATTCCGCCCTCCCCTCTCCCTCCCCTCTCCCCGTATTCTTAGGCTGTAATTAGGTTATAGCTTTCATATAAAAGGTATAAATTAGTTTCATAATAGGGGTGTGTACATTGGATACTTTTTCCTCCATTCTTGTGATACTTTGCTCAGAAGAACATTTTCCAGCTCCATCCATGTGAACATGAAGGACGTAAAGTCTCCATCTTTCTTTACGACTGCATAGTATTCCATGGTGTACATATACCACAGTTTGTTGATCCATTCGTGGATCGATGGGCACTTGGGCTTCTTCCATGTCCTGGCAATTATGAATTGGGCTGCAATAAACATTCTGATACAAATATCTTTGTTGTAATGCGATTTTTGGTCGTCTGGGAATATACCTAATAAAGGAATTGCAGGGTCAAACAGCAGGTCTATTTTTAGTTCTCTAAGTGTTCTCCAGATGTCTTTCCAAAAGGAATGTATTAGTTTACATTCCCACCAGCAGTGTAGGAGTGTTCCCTTTTCTCCACATCCACGCCAGCATCTCTGGTTTTGGGATTTTGTGATATAGGCTAATCTCACTGGAGTTAGATGATAGAGATAAGGTCTTAAGGTCTTTAATTTTTAAGTCATTTACAATCTAGGTAGAAAACAAAATGCAACTTGCATGAATGCTTCGATGCTGAGTGGTTTGGCACAAATGCAAGTATCCTAAGTGGTACAAGTCAAGTGACATAGTCAGAAGAGGTGCTTCCTGGAGGATCTGGGGCTTGGGCTGGGCTTTGAACAATTTGGGGTGCAGGTAGTGCAGGTGAGGGCAGCTGCTGGGGGCATGTGGAGGCAAGTCTGGGGGGGCAGAGGAAGCAATGAGGCTGGACGGAACCAAAAAGTGGGAAGAGAGGGAGCATCCAGAGGAAGACTTGGGTTTGGTTTACCTGTAGAAAGTGGCCTTCTAAAGCAGAGAGCAGATAATTTTTATTTATTCCAATCAGCCCTAAGTCAGAAAATAATGTAGTTTGCAAAATTATGCTTTCTATTGGTACTCTTCTGAAAACATTTGGGAAGGGTTCTGTTTAGACTTGCAGAGTAAAAATTCTTCTGTCACTTTGACAGTGAGGAACGCACAGCGGAAACATATTCTTGCAGCCCATGAGATCATCCACAGGCACACGGAAGCCATGATCCTAAAGACAGTGACTGGGCATCGGCAGGGCAAGGTCCCAGACGCTGACAAGTCTGCTGACAAAGATGAGAAAGATGAGAAAGATGAGAAAGAAACCCCAGATGAGGGACACAGCTAAGGTGAGTTTAATTTTCCATCTGGAAGGAAGCAGAGCTAGGAGGAAAAGCAGCATTGGGAAAATGTGAAAAAATTGCTTAAGAACTTGGCACATTTCATCTAGGTTACAGCATCTACTATAGAAATAATTAATTAGAGTTGATATTACAGCAGTTAGATTCTTGTGATACAGGAAACAGGACTCCAGACTATTTGTATGGGGTTTTTAGCAGTGATTATACCCCATCAGAAATAGAGTTACAGACTGTGTCAGCATTATTCAAAAGGTTGTTCTTACCAATGCAGGATACATGGTAAGGACTTGCAAGAGGTCAGAATAGTAAAAGAAAGTAATACTAACGGCCACTCTAAGATGTCACAAATTTAACTCAAAAAACTTAGAGATGAGGCAAAGGACATTTTGGTGACTGTGAAAGTACAGTTTGCTTCTTATCTTTGCATAATATCCCTACAGTATAGATGTCTTATTATTTCTGAAACACTGATCGTTTACCTGTTTCTTTATGCTGATAGGCAAGTTTCAAGCAAGGTTGTAAGCACAGCCATGAGGCACAGAGGCTGCCCACTCCTAGTCTGGCCTCTGTGATGCTCATGGGACTTGGTCTTCAGCTCAGCTAAACATTCACACTCATCAGGCCATTATCAGCACATTTGGCATGAACCTCCTTAGAAAGGTATAAGATAGGAAATAGCTTCCAGCTGGGACACTCACATTTCTCTTCCTGTGGGAGCTCTTGCCATATACACGCAGAACACCCAGCTATTTTCTTAACCCCTGGGTTACAGAGTTCAGGTATAAAGAAAAAGGATTCACAATGGGTGAGTACAGGAGATGCCCTGGTTTAAAAACCTCATACCCTGGGGCCAGAATCTTTTTTTTTTTTTTTTTTTTTTTTTTTT